TTTCTGATCAGGTTGATTTTGTGTGTGTGTGTGTGTGTGTGTGTGTGTGTGTGTGTATGTATGTTTTGATCTTTTCCTCTAGTGCATTTTTGCCATTATTTGTGTTTGCTTAGATCTGGGCAGACTCCAACCCCAGCTGGAATTTGGGAGAACACCTAAGATGCCAGTCTGGCTTGCAGAGGTGTGATAGGCATATACCTGTCACCATCAGAGTTGGAACTACTTTCCTGGTTACTTGAACATAGCCGGTGTCTGTAGATTTCCATAACTGGTGGTGACACAGGTCCTTGGGGTTATTCTACTCTTGGTAAACAACTCATTTCACATGCATAGGTCACCAGGAAGCTCTTCTCTGCCCTGAGGCTCACAGTGTGGACATTGTTTTGTTTAAGTCGGCCCTGAATGCTTGGGAAAGTCCAAAATTAGGTATTTAAATGACAGACCTCTCTCTGTATTGCAGACCTGCCTCTCTTATATGAGTCTGGCAAGAGTCCTAACCTTGTCTCCTCATGTGTAAACTGGGGATGATGCGGAACTTGGAGTGGAAGGATGCATGTAAGAGTCTCAGCACAGAGCATGAACTCATCATAGAAAGTGTACGGTACGGGTGGGTCAGTCCCAGAAAATGTTTTTCCCCCATATTTTTAAATACTTTTATTTTACACCTTTCCCCCTTTATCTAGCTTTTATTTCTCTTTTGTCCCACAATGTTCTTTTTATTGCATGTATTAATTGGGCCAAGGGATTTCATTTCGATATTTGCCTCTGTGCAGATAATGTTCTTTGGTCAAATTCACCCCCTCTATGGCCCTTTCTCATCCTCCTTCCCCTTTTAAAAACAGTTTATTCTGTTTTCATGCATGCAAATAAAGTATTTCAATCATTTTCATCCCCCTCTTCATTCTGTCCTTTTTCCCTCCCCCTTTCTGCTGGTTCCCAGAGTCTCCCTTTTATACTCCTGTCATTCATTTTTTTTTTTTAAGGTCTAGATTCCTGATGTAAGAGAGAACATGAGATAATTGTCTTTCTGAGTCTGGCATATTTTTTTAACATGATAATCTCTAGTTCCATTGAGTTTCCTGAAAACAAAGTAATTTATTCTTCATGGCTGTATAATACTCCATTGTATATATGTACCACAACTTCTTTAGCTGTTCATCTGTTGATAGGCATCTAGACTAATCCCATAGTTTGGTTATTGTGACTAGTGCTACAATAAACACAGATGGGCAGGTATCTCAGCTGTATGCTGATTTAAATTCCTTTGGCTGTATGCCCAGGAATGGCATAGTAGGATCATATGATCATTTAATTAATTTTTTTGGGGGGGCCATATTGGGGCTTGAACTCAGGGCTTTGCAATTGATAAGCAGGCACTCTACCTCTTGAGCCCTGCCTCCAGCCTTATTTTTATTTTTTTGAGGAACCTCCATACAGATTTCAACTAAATTTAATGGACTAGAAGAAAATCTTTGCTAGCTAGTCATTGGATAAAAGGTTACTATCCAGAATATATAAAGAAAATATTTCTTAGATGAGAAGTGAACTGAAGGAGCCCTGTGAGAAGGAGGTGGCTGTGGAGGCCAGGGACTCCTGAGGCATGACTTCCCCTGTGTCACTGCTCACTGGAGACATTGGCTCCACGATGAGTGTTTTTGTCTCCTGGCAAAATCTTGCACGCAAGGCAAGTGGCCCTAATTAACCTGTGTTTGCATTTACCCTGGAGCTATGGGACTTAATTAAGGAGAGGAGGAATCAGTCTCCCACCAGCGAGTCTCTGAAGTTTTCAGTTTTTTCTTTGAGGACCTGAGATTTTTAGCATACCTTCATTTTCATGCCAACCTGCTACCAGGGGATGAGCACATAATGATAGTTCCACACAATGCTAGCCCTGATCTGATATAAAAAACTCCAGGTGCAATCAGAAAGGAGAAAATTCCCGCTCTAACTACAGTTTAGTTTTAGATTTGTTCTTTCTCTGTCCCTGTCTCTCTCTCTCTAATTCTCACTCTCTCTCTCTCTCTGTGTATGTGTGCACACGCATGCGAGCGCACATGCACAAAAATTTCCAGATGTGAATCTACAAGCCATCTGGTTAGAATAACATTTGTGCTGGACTGTAATTACAAGCTATTTATTATGAATCTTGGGATCCTGTTATGGATTTTGACTGGCTCCCAGGTTTCTAATTTAGCAGAGCTCCTAGATTTAAAAGAGTGTGTGCCTTCCTCTTTATCTGATCCCAAATTGTATCTTCGCACCACTCAGCCAGCTCCAAGTGCTTCGATTCCCTGTGTCTTCAAATTCTTCCTTGCAGAGAAGAGTCGCACTTGGGTGTGGCTTTCCATAAGTCTGCAGCCAGGTTTGCTAAACGGATAAAGTCATGAAGTTGTGGTAACAGAAGCTCTGCTCGTGAAGACGCTCAAGTCACATGCATCCTTGCACCTGATGGTTATCCGATGCCTCTGGTAGAGTAAGACTGATGATATTTTAAAACTGTATGTTCTTAATCTGAACCTTTGTTAGGTTTGTAATTTAAGAAAAGTTACAAAAACACAACTATGAAGCCAGGCACTGGTGGCTCATGCCTATAATATTAGTTACTCAGGAGGTTTGCAGTTCGAGACCAGTCCAGGCAAAATAGCTTGTGAGACCCCAACTCGATGGGAAAATACTGGGTGTGGTGGTATGCTCCTGTTAATCCAGTTACTCAAGAAGCTTAAAATAGGAGGATTACCATCCAGGCTGGGCAAAAGCAAGATCCTATCTCCAAAACAACCAAGGGCAAAAAGGGCTGGATGCGTGGCTCTAATGTCAGAGCGCCTGCTTAGTGAGTACAAAGCCTTGAGTTCAAACCTCAGCACACAAGAAAATACGAGCATGATGTAATTAGCCTCGATCCCACCATCATTTTGAAGAAAAGAGTGAAAGAAAGAGTTTTGGAGGGCTTAGAGCCAGCACGCCTGCTCTGTTCACAAAGGAACAGTGGACAGCCTTATTAGGGCTGAGGACACTCTCCCCATAGCTGTGCTTCTCAACCCTGGTACTCTGCAATTACTGGGGAGCAGAGCCCTTAGCTTAATCAGATTGAGCTGCAGGGGGTGGGGCCGGAGGCAGCCCCAACCTTTGTTAAGAACTCCATGGGCCTGCAATTTGCAGTTAAGGATGAGGACTACTGTCTCATAGGCTCTGAAGGAGTAAATAAGGTTAGCCCAGTGGGGGCACTTAACAAAGAGCAGACAAAAACAAAATAAAACAAATTCCCCCCAAACAGGAAATGAGAAGGTGGGGGGAGGGAGATAGAGAAAGAAATTACTCAGGCTAACCATGTCCTTCCACCCTATATGGACAACCAATAAATGAAAAAAACAGAAAGCCAGCAACATTAGCCAGGCAGGAGTGGGGGTCCGGGTGGCTGTAGATTGATGTCCTTTCTCTGGATAGCTGGGCCAGTCTTGGGACAGGACAGCCTCAGGAATATTTCCACGGGTCAGGGTGAACCTCAGGTACCTTGCTAATACAAGGGTAGGAAAATAACAAGACCAAGGTAGATGCAGAGCTGTTGGAAGGCAGGCACAGCCCTCTCCCTGCCCCCTCTCACTCACTCTGGGGGGAGTTGTGATGGTGAGTCTAGTAAGTGGAGTTCTGGGACTTAATAGAGGTTCCGATGATTTGAAAGGACAGGGGTGAGAATATCTTGGAGGCTGTAGAACGTCAGAGAATTTGAGGGCAATACAGAAGAGAAAGTGATGAGTTTTTATCTTAGAACTATATGCGCTTGGCTTGGGCTGCAGTACACACGTGTGCACACGTACTCCTATCCCACTCCCACAGTCACAGGTGCATATCTCCCCAGTTTTGGGCTAGAGACAGTGAGATCTTCCTTTGACTCGTGATATTGAAGCTTACTGGAAACATTTGTGAATCTCCTTGAGGTTGTTGTCAGGGCTAAGTTAGGATTTCTCATATACATATTCCAGGAGGGCCGCAGGTTGATTTGAAGGTGAGCAGAGATGGTCAGTTGTTCTTCTCCAACTTAGCCTCACATCAGGCAAAGAAGGCCACAGCACTGGCCTTCAGCCAGGGTAGGGCATGGTGCATGTTCATTTGTGATTTCCACCTCTAACTGCAAAGCTGTGTGAAATTGAAAAAGTTGGCTGTTTCCTCTGAGCACAGTTTTCCTATCTATAAAATGGGAATAATGACAATATTTGTCTCACAGGATTTAAATGAAAATGAAAATCATGGTATGAGCTTGTTAGAGCTCGGATCTTGATCATATTTTTTGACCTACTCTTTTTGGAATAGGTGCATATACTCCCTATGGATTCAGGCTTCCCCATCATGTTTGGATCGTCTCTGACACATTTTAACAGCTAACCTTTCAGGATAAAACCAAAGATGCAAATGCTTACCACACTTTCATTAGCATAAGTGCTAATGTAAAGCAGCTGTCCCACAGCTATAAAACACTGAGGACTGTGTCTCTGTTTGGCATGTGGAATATTATTTCTTCTCTTACTGAGTCGATTCAATACTCAACTTTGTCATTATTTGAGTTGGAACTTTAGATTGGTGCATTTTAATGCACGCTACTATTAAGAATTGTTGGACAGCCATGAGAAAATATTTTTGTTCTCACGATGCAGTCCTGGTCCAGGTAGCCAAAATGAGCAAAATATGATTTACACAAATATTATCATTTCTGGAGCGTGTACTAAGAAGAAACTTCAGAGTGGGGCTGGAGAAAGCTCCCCTGCTCTGCATTCGGTTATCTGGGGGCAGAGCTGGCTTTTAAAGAAGGGACCTTTCAGCCTTCCTCTCCAGAAGTCCTGTGTGTGTGGTTCTGTTGCAGGGAGAGAACAGGTCTATCTGACAACCTAAGGTCTTCTTGCCAAAATTAAGGCAAGATAGGAAGAGGAAGACTGCAGATGTGGGTCAGGATTTCAGTGATTCTGTTTGAAGTTGATTCAGAATGTCTCTTGCCTCTTTCTACCTAGAACAAAGAAGTGACATGTAAGAGAGAGAAGTGCCCAGTGCTGTCCCGAGACTGTGCCCTGGCCATCAAGCAAAGGGGTGCCTGCTGTGAGCGCTGCAAAGGTCAGTTCTGTCTTGGCTGCCTTCTCTGCTACAGGCAGTTTTATTTCTTTCTCTCACCTTTCTTTTCATTCAGCTACTGGCTGGGGTGCAGATGGGTGTTAGGAGGGAAGCTCGTGTGTGTGTGTGTGTGTGCGCGTGCGCGTGCATGTGTGTGTGTGTGTGTGTGTGTGCATGTGTGCGCGCGTGCGCGTGCATGTGTGTGTGTGTGCGCATGTGTGTGTGTGTGTGTGCGTGTGTGTGTGTGCATATGTGTGTGTGTGCATGTGTGTGTGTGTGTGTGTGTGCATGTGTGCGCGCGTGTGCGTGCATGTGTGTGTGTGTGTGCGCATGTGTGTGTGTGTGTGTGCGTGCGTGTGTGTGTGTGTGCATATGTGTGTGTGTGTGCATGTGTGTGTGTGTGCGTATATGTCTGTGTTGGGGACTGTAGGAAAGAGACTTCCCTGTGAAGGGATGAAGGTATACTGAACCTTTGCATATTTGGTTTATTTTTTAAGGCAAGTTGTTAAAATGTCACAGAGAAGATGCATACATGAAGCCGCTGCGATTTTGTGCACATGCAGATGAACATATTTTTGTCAACAAGTTTCAACACTTGGTTTTTCCAGGCTCCACACTAGGCATTCCCTCCTCTGCCAGAGGAGTCTTTAAACCCAAATTTTTATCATTTTAGTCCCTATTAAATTTTTAGCTCCTCTGCTTGTCCTTGAAGCTGCTCTAAAATCTCCTTACCCCAACCCCAGTGCCCATGGCCCTCCAGCAGGCACGCTTTGTCTGGAACGCATTGTCCTAGTCTTGCCTGCTGTTGGGCTTCACCCAGTCCTTTCCTCCCAGCCTGGCCAAAGCTGCCCGTGCCCATGGCCCCAGTTTTCATTTGACACTTGTCCTTATGAATTTCTGTAGCACACAGAAGTTTCCATGAATACTTTAGCCACGTGCTCTTCCCTCTTTGCTGTTTCATTTGTGTTGAGTACAAGTGCATGAAGGCAGGAGCAAGGTCTGTGACATTGTGTGGTGTTCATGCAAACAGAGCATCACAGTGTGGGAGCACCCAGGAAGCAACGTAAGGGCAAGAGTTTAGTATGTGGACTTGGAGCCGGGCTGCCAAGTCAGAGCCCAACTGCATTGGCTGGAATAGTGTTCTCGAAACTTTTATGTACACTCAGAATCTCAGAAAATGTGACCTTATTTGGAAATAGAATCTTTGCAGGTATGATTAGTTAAGAAGAGGTCATACTGGATAGGGTGGCTCCATGTCCCATGTGTGTCATTATAAAAAGAGAAAGAGACAGACACACAGAAGAGGGCCATGGGACCAGAGAGGCAGAGGCTGGAGTGATGCTGTCACAAGCGTAGGAGCATGTGGGGCCATTAGGCAAGAGGCTTCCCCCTGGCGCCTTCAGATAGACCACTGCCTGCCATATTGATTTTGGATTCATAGTCACCAGAAACGTGAGTGAATAAATTCTTGCCTTTTTCTAATCATTACTTTTATTCGATACATACTATCCATACACATTTAGAAGATACAATATGGTATTTCAATTCATGTCTACAATGTGTAATGATAAGATTAGGACATTCAGCATACCTATCACTTCAAACATTTATCAGTTGTCTGTGTTGGGAGCATTTCAAATCCATTCCTCTGGCTATTTTGAAATATGCAATAAATTATTGTCAACTATTGCCACCCTACTGTTCTATAGAACACCAGAACTTACTCCTTTTGTCTAACTGCAGTTTTATACCCAATAACCAACCTCTTTTTATTCCCCCTTTACCTTATCTTCTGGTAATCCCTATTCTACTCTCTACTTTGATTTCTGTGATCTTGAGCTGCCATGTTTGTGGTAATATATATGCTAGCCACAGGAAGGCACTCATCACCATATTTGTGGGTGATGACATGGAGTTTTGCTCCACCCCAGTCCCTTACCTGTCAAATGAGGATAATAATAGTGTTGGAGGGAATAAAATGGGAAGATACATGCTAAGTGCTTAACGCCATGCCTGTGTGTAAATGTTTCTTAATTAATAGAAGTAGCATTGGTGACAAGCTTTTGGTTTGTTCCTCAGTACACACAGGGAACTTTCAGCTGCTGTAATGGTTAAAGTGTGTAAACCTCCTCTCTTTCTTGTCCAGTTACTTCCTGTCTCTTCACCCTTTCCTTTAAATGTCCTAATCTTCCAAGGGAAAGAAAGAGAAACACATTTTCTGAGCATGCTTTTGAAGCTTACCAAGATAAGACCAATGAGTCCAGTGTCCTGAGTTCTCATTCTAACAATGACCTTAAGACATTTTTTTGGGGGGGAGGATGAAAGGGTGTCAAGAATCCTACTCCATCTGGAAGTGGACCTATGAGAGACTCCTGAATAGGTCTGACATTTCAGTGGCTCTGAAGTAGACATTAGAGATTCAGTCCTCATTTCTTCTCTTTCTAACCTAGAATACAGTGGTCATTGCGTGGGTTTTAAGGGACGCAGCTATATTCATTCCCAGAATTTTGGTTCACTTATGTTTTTCTTATTCGAATAGTAACATGCTTTTGGAGAAGTTTTGAAAAATAGTCTAAACAGTGGAAAAGCAGAAAAGGATTTACTCACCATCTCACCATGTAGAAATTAATATACTCTGCATGTTAAAATTAAAAAATTGTTACTGTTTAGCATGTTTCCTTCTACATTTTTCCATGTAAAAGTCCTTACACGGTTGTCATCTTACTGTTCAGATTGTGTTAGTTCTATTTTTTTCTAGCTTAACATTAGGACATAACATCCCCGTTCATTTGGATGTATTGTCCTTACTAGTTACATGAGATTCAGTTGTAGGTAAGTATGAGCATTTCTGTGGTCATTTTTGGGCACTTAGGTTGTATCCTTTAGCCTTGGGTAAGGATAAAGACAAGAAACTGAAGCTAAAGAGCATTGTGCAATAAAGGAATAAAGACCAAAAAGACAACCTCAAGAGTGGCTGTGAGGACAGCACAGATCTTGGTATTAACCTGGAGGCCAGTTTGGCTTTGGTCCCCTAAAGAGTCTGGCCAATCCCTCGAAACCCTTGGTACCCTCTGTTCACTGGGGAAACACGATAATGAATCATAAGTGTAGCAGAAATTCTGAGCCAGGAGCAACAGCTGTGTTTCTGCTGTCGTCTAACAAGCTTCTACACACTAATACTGGGAATCTGCCTTTTCTTCCCCAATGAGAGCCATTCAGTAGAATCCTATTAGCACAGAAGTTTGCTGCAAACACTTGATGTTAGAACCAAGTGATATGTAGGCCAAATTGGCTCAGTATTGAAAAATTTAATCAAGTTAGGGAAAAATGTACATGACATATACTATATAAAATATAATATGCAATTAATTTTTATTAGTGAAGAAATCAAGCCTCATTGTTCGGATCAGTTATTATGTTGTAACAGGAGAGCAAACAGATGGAAGCCTTCTGTGTTTAAAGGTATCGATGCTCTGAGGCTCTGCCTGGTGTAGCTGATCACAGATGGGGGGTTCAGTCCTCTTGCAGAGGTGTGCACAGCCTTGCCCAACCTGGAAGAGTGGGTGCAGGATGTGACTCTCTTGACCGTTTTAGAGGAGGTGGCTGTTGGGAACAACTTCCTCTCAAGTATAGGGGAAGGTGAAATCTAGTTTTGCTAACTGGGTGAAGTAGTAGTAAGAGCTTGCTGGTTGCTTTGAGGATCCTCGAGTATCTTTCTTATTTGTCATCCCTTTACCCAAGAGAATCGCGTGTATGTTTCTCAAAATGTAATGGAGCATGTAGCCAGAGTCACCAAGATTGTCATCACATCAAAATAGCTGGGAATACTCGGAGCAAGGTTCGGAATCTTCCCACAGTATTGTGGCAGGTATTATCCTAGCCCATTTTAGCATGAAAAAATGGTGACACTGAGAGGTTTGCTGACTTGCTCAAAGTCACAGAGCTAGAAAGCCACAAAGGGACAGACTTGGGTGGTCTCTCCATTGGGCTCACAAGTGCTGTATCAGAAGCTGTGGGCCTAGGTTCCTCCACCTATGTTTTCAAGTCTCCTCTGAGATTTCCCTGTAGACCAAGGTTGAAGGATCACTGCTTCCAGATGAAGGAAGGAAAGGAAGTCAGAGTGTTAGCTTTCTGGATGAAGAAATTAGAACCTTATCTTGAAAGGGTGATAGTCAATATCAATGAAAGGCTGAGAAATATCTTTGCGTTTTGTAGCTGAGAGGCCATGTTGCTGACCATTTGCTTACTTCCAACTTTGATGACTTTGCATCACTGGAATGATGACATAAGAAATGATGACATAAGAAATAAAACAAGAAGATCTAACTTTGATGTTGACGTGTTGACAAATGCATACCAGAAGTCTTTCTCAGTTATCCTATTGGGGCACATGTGGAGGTGGGGGTACTGGAACCCCAGGAACTGGCTAACTATCTCCCACTGTCAGGACTTTCTTTTCTAACTTCTCTCTCTTCCTTCCTTAGCACAATTGCATCTAGTTTTAACTTTAATTAGATAACTACATTATCAGAATAAAACATTTAAGTAGGAAAGTGAAATATGTCCTTTTTGAACTTATAAAAACCCACTGTGCAGATATAACAACTGTTAGGAATTTGTTGTGTTCTTCCCAGACCTTTCGTACTTTATTACACATACATGTAATTTTGTATGTGTGCTTTCATTTGTACAGGAATGGAATAAAACAGTTCATATGCTTTTGCAGTGTGCTTTTCTAAAGAAGAAATTTCAACAATCAAATGTCTTAGGAATTTCCCAGGCCAGTTACTGCTTTTTTCAACTGTCATATGGATTACATAGCATCGATGTACAACAATTAATTTAAGGTTTCCCTACTGACAAATGTTTGGGCTTTTGGTTTTTGCCAGACAGCGGGAGCCAACGTGCCATACTTGCTGTGCTCTCGTGTCTGTTCTTCAGGGACAGAGACCCGGGAACCAGAGTGCTGGAAGAGGCTAAATTTTGGACATTATTAAATGGAG